CTATTTTTAGTAGAGATGGGGACTTGTTCTTACCCAAGCAGGTCTTAAATTGCTAACCTCAAGCAATCCTCCCAGCTGAGCCTCCCAGAGTGCTGGGATTACAGGTATGAGCCACTGCACCTGACCTACATGTATTTTTAAGTACATATATTTTGTTGCTATTTATGTCAGTTAACTTGTAAACTTTACAAAGGAAAATCTTCTCTTAACAGAGATATTTCTGTGAACTGGGAAGTGTGTGCCATTTCCATATACCATTTGTTGTGGTGGTCTTCTTGGCCATAGATTCTTCATTTGGGGGGTTAATTTTCAGTACGTCCTTTGTCCCTTTCTGGTAAGGTCACTTTTGTGTCTCTTACCTTGTTGGCATCTCCCGCAGCCCCGTGAAGGAGGTGCTGGGAATGGGGATTCCATTTTGCAGATGAAGAAATGAAGCTCAGAGATGAGGCTATGCCTGCTGCCCCCCTTGCCAATGTTCTGCTCCCAGTACTTCTCATGCCGTGATAGCTGGTTAACAGGCTGGTAAATTTGGGGAACCTCTCTCGCTGTAGGCTGTTTGGAAGTGGCTTTTTTTGCTTTTTGAGACAGAGTCTTACTTTGTCATCCTGGGTAGAGTGCTGTGGTGTCACAGTTCATGGCAACCTCAAATTCTTGGCTTAAGCGATTCTCTGGCCTCAGCCTCCCGAGTAGCTGGGACTACAGGCACCTGCCACAACGCCCGGCTATTTTTTTAGAGATGGGGTCTCACTCTTGTTCAGGCTGGTCTCGAACCTGCGAGCTCAGACGATCCACCCACCTCGGTCTCCCAAGTGCTGGGATTATAAGCGTGAGCCACCACACCCAGCTGGAAATGGCTTTGTTGAAGACATGGGATAAAAACCACATGGGTTCCAACTAAGAAGCTTGGGATGAATTTGGGATCTTGGCTTTGATGGTTTGATGGTTTGATGGGGTCTCTGCCCCACCCAGGCTCTACCATGTTTGTGCCCTCTGGGACTGGCTGGCTGTCTCTGGCTGTGCTCCATCATGCCCTACCCTTGCTATTCCTTTTTTCTTTCCCAGGAATCCTGCTGTCCTGGAACTCTGCCCTTATGCACATCCCTGCAGTGGCCAGACAGGAAAGTTGGTGGCAAGCTGGTGGCAGGCCTGTGGCTCGGCCTGATATGTGGGAGGGGCTGGGGAGCCGGCTCCCCAGGAAGGAAGCAGCCCTAACCTACAGAGGGGCCAGGCACACCGATGGGTCCTCTGCCCTTGCCCAGGCTCCAGGATGGAAGCCTACCATTCAGCTTGTCTACTTGACAGCACCCAGTCCTCTCCCCACCTAGTAGATTAGGTGCTGTCCCAGGGGTGGGGGCCTTCTGTCCTGCAGAGACAGGTTCTCAACTGGCCCTGAGAACTGTGTAGCTTCACAGCATCCAAAGTTCTGTAGCTCAGATGAGGAAACAGGTTCTTAAAGGGAAAGCAGCCACCATTCCTGGCATGTGGGAAAGGCAGCTGCTGTCTAGGCCTGCATGGCCCAGATGCTCTGTTCTGGGTAACTGCCTCTCTCCAGTTTCTGTGGTCTCAGGCCAAGAGTATGTCCATGGGCTGAGAAGGGTGGGGAGAAGAGAAGGAAGCCTGCCCTTCCCTGTCTCCTCAGCCTGGGGATAGAAGCTTTGATTTTACAAATTCAGTCTTGTAGCATTCTGCCTCGATGCCGAAGCTGGCCCCAGGTGCCAGGCAGCAAGCACATTTCCTTCTGCCAAAAACCCCCAAACACAAACCAGTCTGAGGTGTAGGGTGGTGATGAGACAGGCCAAGGCTGAGCCTCCAACGTGGGTGTCTTTGTGTGGCAGTGTGTCTCTGCCACCTCTAGCACTGCAGGTTATCTGTGATGAACTAGAGAGGATAGCACACTTGCTGGGGCCTTAGCTTATATGCTTGGGGCCAGGATTTGTGACTTGGCCTTTGTGATCTCAGGTATCTTGGTCCCCTGTTCCTACACCCCACTGTATGTGAGGTGGGGATACAGGTGGGGGCTCCAGTTGGGATAGGCTGGGTACTGCAGGCTCAGGAAGTAGCCTCTGACTACAGAGCATGTGTGTCTACACTGATCTGAACATGAGTCCCCGAGAGTCCCACTGTTCCCAAAATATGGCCCCCATCCCTGTGAGACCCCTTTGTGAGCTGGGAAACAGCTGCTCGGATTCTTTCCCTTATGGCCCAACTTTAGCTCTCCTAGGTTAGGCTTTGCCTCCAGTGGAACCCTAGCAAGTGGCCACTTTTTTCTCCCCTGCTGCCAGCTTCTCTAGGCCCTCTGTCACTGACCCTGGGTACACAGCCAGGTGGGTTCTCTGCAGATTTCACTGGGACCACCAGTTCCCAGCAGGGCCCACACAGCAGCCCTGTGAGGTAAGAGTAATGAGGAAACTGAGGTTGAAAGCGTGACGGACTCCCCATGCTTCACAGCCAGAACTTAAGTGCGTTTAATGAAGAGAATTTAATTCCTCACTAGGCCTGGCAGCCCTTAGAAGGGCTTCCCGAAGGAGAGGAGGAAGCAGATCTCCACCAAGGGCAGGGAGCAGACCAAGGCCCCCAGGACTCCACCTGCAGCACCTGGCGGCCTGGCCTGTGAGAATGTTGTCAGCCTGGGAGCCTGCACGTGATGTGGTCCACAGCACCCACCTCTTCCTACCTCCAAGCCCCTCAAGAAGGGCCTGTTCTGCCCTGGGGCTGGTCTCAGTGGAAATGAGCCCGGGAGCACGGAGCAGGCTGGAAGCTCACCTAGGGCCTGTTGACAGTGTTTTGTGTTGTGTGGGTGTGTGCTTGCCTGCGCATGTGTGTACATGCTCACCTTTGCAAAAAGGTGTGGGAGGGGGGTGACAGAGCTTTACACCGGAAGAGCATGCTAGTTTCTGTTTCAAAGGGCAGATTTTGTAGTGGTTCTGTAGTTTCTGATCTGGGCATTTCCCCTGTTGGAAGCTCTTCCTTCTGTCCTTGGAAACTGTGTTCTCAGCTGGGTCTTTATGACCCAGTTCTCCTCTGCTCTTTTTAGTCTACCCTATTTTGTTGCCCCTCCTCCCACCTGTGTTTTCATTTGTTCATTCAGTCACTCAGCAAGCATTGGTGAGGCCCAGCGAGGAACATGTACACAGAGTAGCTCGAGGCATCAGGAGTATGATTGCTACAGGAAGGAGCTTCTCAGTCAGACCTTTGGTGGGAGAGATTGGAGCCTGGGAGGTGGATGTTCCTAGCTAAGGATTAGGCTGAGATCGGGACAGGAAGCACTGGCTGGTCAAGCTTAGTTTGGAAGGAGCAAAGATGGGAAGACAGAAGCTGGAGCGGCAAAGCACCGAACTCCATCACAAAGTGTCCACAGGCTGTAGGAAAAGCATGTTCTCATTAGGTTGGCAGTGGGCAGCCTTGGAAGGGGATTGGATGGGGTCCGAGGGGCCAGAACAATGCTTTAGGAAAATTCAGAAGACTTAGGAAGGATGGCCAATTGGCAAGACCTGCAAGGGCAGGCAGCCAGCAGGAAGGTCAGGACTCTTAATTAACTGGGGGACTGGCCAGAGGGATTTGCTGAGGGGACAGAAGTCAGGCCCAGGTAGAATCAGTAACACTGTGTCAGGGGACCTGGGGTTAGGGCCAGAGGCAGTGCTCTCTGTTCCAGGTGGGAGAGATGAGGGCTGCTGTGGCTGGGTGGGGCAGGACAGGGAGAGAGCTTGCCAGGGGGAGTTGGGCGTCTTAAGACATTCTGGCTAAGGTGGTGTGCAGTTTGGGCTGGGGGGCCTCCTAGGATGGGGGCTGGCCCTGGCTCCAAGTTTTCCAGGCCAGTCTGGGCGTAGAGCATTTTAGGATGCTTCAGAGCTAGGAGAGTGCTCAAAGAGAACCATCTCTGTTGGCTAAGCCAGGCTTCTTTCCCCAAGGCTAGCATGGGGAGGGCAGCCCTTCCTCTGCTGGAGAGAGCACTCAGAACCTGTGAGGGGCTGTGTGCCTGAGCAAACTTGGGTAAGGGACAGAGGACTAAGCCCTAAATGAGCTCTTTGCATGTGCTGCATGTGATGCTGGGTGCTATTAGCTGTTACAACTTTTAATCTTACCAACTCTCCCTGGTGCTGTTGTTACCTGTCTAAAGTGAAGCAGTGGGATCGGAGTGGCTGTCACTCTGCTGAGATGACACAGCTTACGTGAGGTGGAGCTAAGATTCTAGACCAGGCAATCTCACCCAGAGCTTATGCATGTGTTTCCCACCACCCTGTCTTCTCGAGAACCCAGGCAAGCCCTTTGCTTTATAGGTGGTAAAACCAAGACTGTGAATCACTCAGCGTCTCTCAAGTTTAGTGGCTGAGGCAGCTCATCTGCCATTCAGGCCTCTGTGTGTCCTTGACTTGGGGGGGGGGGGCATGGCTAAGATGAGGAAATGATCTCAAGCCAACAGTGGGCTAGGCCCAGGATGGGTGCTGCACTTGGACAGCTGGAGGATGAGGCCTCTGGCTGAGACTTGAGTGGGGATGTCTTTAGGGGGCAGGGTATTTCAGGGACACCCAAGCTCTTTGGGCCCAAGCTTACCTCCCCTCGGGGATCCTGAGGCCCATCCTGACCTACCCAGCCCCACCTGCCCCTAGGACTTTATAATTTGCTTTCTGTGGACTCTGTACCTGAAAGTGATCCTTGGGTCCCCATTTCTCCTGGAGTCCAGCTCTTTTCCACATCAAAGTGTCCAGCCCATATCCTCAGGAAGGGAACAAAGATGGGGAAGGGACATCACTCAGAGCCCCCTGTGCCCCATATAGCCCTCTCTGACCTCTCAGCCCTTAGCCAAGGTCTGTCATTAGACTTAGCCCAGCTCTTCTGTCATCTACTATGACTGAGTGGTCTTGGCTTCGTCCCTGGTGTGGGGTGTCTCTCTGTGCTCCTCCCTGAGAGAGCATGGGAATGGGTGAGGAATCCAAGCCACCTTCATTTCCCTACCAACTCTTGGAAACCCCCACTGACCTTCCTTTGTTCTATGTTCCTAGTTGATATTCGTGAAATTAAGGAGATCCGGCCAGGGAAGACCTCACGGGACTTTGATCGCTATCAGGAGGACCCTGCTTTCCGGCCAGACCAGTCACACTGCTTTGTCATCCTCTATGGAATGGAATTCCGCTTGAAGACCTTGAGCTTGCAAGGTAGGAGTACAGGGGCTAGAGGAGGTCGGGGTACTTAAGGGGAACGTCCGTAGGCCCCTGGTCCAATGAAAGGTGCATGCCTTCAGCTAAGCTGTTCCCCCCATGCTCACAGCCACGTCTGAGGAGGAGGTGAACATGTGGATCAAGGGCTTGTCTTGGCTAATGGAGGACACGTTGCAGGCAGCCACACCCCTGCAGATTGAGCGGTAAGAACTCCCCCATATGCTCGAGGCTGGTCATCTGGCACCAGGGGCAAGGACAGCTGGCCTTGGTGTGCCTAGACACTGCCTGCTGTCTCCCAGGCCTAGGCTCTAGCTGGGGAAGTGGCCTTCACCTCAGTCTGCTCTCTCCAGGTGGCTCCGGAAGCAGTTCTACTCAGTGGACCGGAATCGTGAGGACCGGTGAGTGCCGAGCTGCAGCTCTAGCCTAGCAGGGTGGACAGGGGCAGTAAGAATAGTAGCCAGGCCTCTGAGCAGCCTCCTGGACAACCAGAGGGCCCTGGGGCCTGCGTTAGTTGGGGTCGGGGTAGGCAAGAAGTCCTGGCACAGTTAGCTTTCTGCGGAGAGCCATCAGGCCTTGGTGAAAGCTGGCAAGAGAGGCCAACAACAGTAATGCTCTATGTCTTGCTGCTGTGGGCAGAGAGGCTGGGTGTGCAGAACAGGCTCTCAGCATCCTGGAGTTGAGGGTCAAGGTAGCCTGCAGTGTATGAGGGGTGCCATGAAGCTCACTACTCTGAAGCCTGTTATGATAGCCTGAGAGGTCAAAGAGAGAGGGGAGCAAAGGCCAGATGGTGTGGGTGCTGCACATAGTGATGCCCTTCCAGTGTCCTGAGAGAGATGGGAAGCCCTGGAAGGGTTCTGACAGGAGTGACATGACTGACTGAGAGTTGCTCAGGGCCACTGTGTGGAGAGTTCAGTCCTGGAGCTGCTTCAACACTTCAGGTGGGAGACAAGAGGGCTAGGATCAAGGTGGTAATGATAGGAAGTAGCTAGGTTTTGGCTATATCATATTTTGAAGGTAAAATCAGAATTTTCTGACAGCTTGATCTTGGGTGTGGAAGGAGTCGAGGATAACAGTGTGCTCTTTGGCTCAAGCAACTGCAAAATAGAGTTGCTATTGGTTAGGTTAGGAAGATGGGGAGGAGGCTCAGGGGTTCAGTTTGGGGTGCTAAGTTTCTGTTAGCCGTCCAGGTAGAGGTGTTGAGTAGACAGGTGAGTAGAATGGGTTTAGGGGGAGACATTGGGGCTGGAGGGGCTAACTTGGGGGTATGCAGATGGCATTAAAGGCCACCCGGCTAGGTGAGAGCACCAGGGGCAAGTGTAGCACGGAAAAAGAAGGGGTCCAGGGACCAATCCCAAGCTGCTCTGTATCAGGGACTGGGGGCAAGCAGCAACTATGAGGTGAGAGGAAAACTGGGAGAATGGGTAGAAGGAAGTGGTGCAAACAGCTGAGCCCTGGATTTAACAGTGTGGAGGGCAGAGCTGTGTCAGCACAGTGGTGAGGGACTTGAGGGGAAAAGGGAGCAAGGAGGACTCTTCGAGGAGTTTGCCATGGAGGGAAACAGGGAAGGGGTGGCAGGGGTGAGACCTAGCAGGCTGCTTGTGTGCTGATGGGAAGTAGTCTGCAGGGGAAAGGTTGGTGATGCAGAGAAAATTAAGGCCCCAATAACGCCTACCGTCTGGATAACCAAGGGTGAGGGAAGACAGCAACACGGGACCACTCTGTGCAGAGCGGATCTCCTGTGGGAATTGTGGTGGCTCCTGCCAGATACTGGCGCTGGAGGAGGAGGGGCTCTCACCTCCTTGACACCACCTTCTCCCATCTCATCCATCCTGTTGCCAGGCCTACCAGTGACCTCTGGCCCCGTATCCTGGGCAGGGCACCCTTGCAGGGCAGCTATGCTTGTTCCCTAAGCTCCTTTCCTAGAGCCAGCACTCTGGCCCCAGGAGACTCCCGGTCACCAGCAGGCATATTTGGCTGTGCACACCCATCCCACTGCCTCTACCCTTTGCACTGTGGTGCCGGATGCTGACAGGCCAGGGCCAGAGGGGCAGTGGTTCCTGTGGCTCCCAGTGGGCAGTAGGTGGGGGACCCGCTACTGAGCTGCCCCCTACAGGGAATTTGGGTGAGCCCTGGCCTCTGTCCTGAATGGGCCACTGCCACCTTGGAGAGTTGAGCACAGTCCTGAGGAGGGGAGGCCTGGAGAGTCTTCCCTCCTCCAATGCCTGATTCCTTCACTTCATCCTTGCCAGAATCATGAGCTTTTCTTGTCTTAGCTGAGGAGTCTGAGGCCCAGAGAAAGGAAGGGACTGCCCTTGGATCTGATGCAGTCCCACTCTCAGGACTCTGGGTTCCCCAAATAGTGTTGTTTACCTGTCCATCCCCAGGTGGGGTCAGCTCACAGGTTAGAGTTAATGGGAAGCTGGATGAGGCCACTGGGTGTCCTTTTTTCCCCAGGATATCAGCCAAGGACCTGAAGAACATGTTGTCCCAGGTCAACTACCGTGTCCCCAACATGCGCTTTCTCCGAGAGCGGCTGACAGTAAGGGTGTCACCCTGGGGCTGTCTGGGGTCTGACTGGGAGTGGGAACAGGGGGTGGGGTCTGACTGGGAGTGGGGGTAGGGGAGTGGGGGCAGGGGGATGGGGTCTGACTGGGAGTGGGAACAGGGGATGGGGTCTGACTGGGAGTCTGGGTAGGAGGTGGGGTCTGACTGGGAGTACCCTTCTCTGTACTGTGTAGGACCTGGAACAGCGCAGTGGGGACATCACCTATGGGCAGTTTGCTCAGCTGTACCGCAGCCTCATGTACAGCGCCCAGAAGACGGTGCATGGCCACCTGCCCTCCCCTGGCCCTTGCCCTGCTCCTCCACCCACCCCAGCCCTGCCTGCCTCAGTCCTGCTGCCCTGCTTGGGGGCTTCTGGGTACCATCTCTCCAGCGTTTGTCCTCTTGAGGCCTACCCCACCTGCTGCCCTAGCCTTCTTCCTCAGGGCCCTTTTCCCACGTGGCCTCTCAGGGGCTCTCATCCTGACCAGGTTCTGTTTCCTGCAGATGGACCTCCCCTTCTTGGAAGCCAGTGCTCTGAGGTTTGGTTTGGAGCTAGGAGGTGGGGTTGTCCCCTGGACCCTCTTTGTGTCTCCCCTGGGTGATTCCCAATCCAAGTGGGAGGCAGTGGGAATGGTGACCCATGCTGGACCGTTCCAGCTGGGAGCAATTCTGGATGGGAGTTGGGCTGTCCATTCCAAGGGCCCATTGCTGTCTGTCAACCAAGCTAGCCAGCTGGCTGCTAGGCACTTACATTCTCTCCCTACAGGGCTGGAGAGCGGCCAGAGCTTTGCCGAGTGTCCCTTCCTGAGTTCCAGCAGTTCCTCCTCGACTACCAGGGGGTATGGCTATCCTGGGGCTGGGCAGGGTGTCAGGCTGTGTGGAGGGGCGGGCTTATCACTAACTGGAGGCTTCTCCTATTCCCCACCCTCTCACCCCATCAGGAGCTCTGGGCTGTAGACCGACTCCAGGTACAGGAGTTCATGCTCAGCTTCCTCAGAGACCCCTTGCGTGAGATTGAAGAACCATACTTCTTCCTGGATGAGGTGAGTCCTACCTTTTCCCCTTCTGGCGGGGGGTGGGGGGGTGACCAGAACCCTACCTACTACCCGCCTTGCCTACCCCAGTTGAGACTCAGCACCCTCTTTTCTACCAGGTGGGTCAGGGCAGGGGCTCATTTTCTCTTCCCTTCTACATTCATTCCTGGACAGTTTGTCACTTTCCTGTTCTCCAAAGAGAACAGTGTGTGGAACACCCAGCTGGATGCGGTGTGTCCGGACACCATGAACAACCCTCTCTCCCACTACTGGATCTCTTCCTCACACAACACGTGAGTGTGGCTCCCTCACCCCACCCAGCCCCTTCTCAGGCGACCAGGCGGGCCCAGCTGACCACCTGTGCCTCTGCTTACCCAGGTACCTGACTGGGGACCAGTTCTCCAGTGAGTCCTCCCTGGAAGCCTATGCTCGTTGCCTGCGGATGGGCTGTCGCTGCATTGAGTGTATGTGAGGGCCAGAGGCTGGGGGAGGGAAGGGGGAGGTCCTGCCCACTTGACTGTGGCAATGCTGCTCCCCAGTGGACTGCTGGGACGGCCCAGATGGGATGCCAGTCATTTATCATGGTCACACCCTCACCACCAAGATCAAGTTCTCAGACGTCCTGCACACCATCAAGGAGCATGCCTTCGTGGCCTCAGAGTAAGTAGGGGGTGGAGGACCCCAGGGTTAACTTGGCTGTAGCTCTTTCCGTCCAAGGATAGAGGCAGAGGGACCCCTCAAATGCCCTGTCCATACTCCTTGGCCTTCGATCCCTGTCTTTGCCTCTCCTCCTCTCTTGCTTGGGCCATGGCTTCCCAAGTTACTCCTTATCTTTCCACATCCTTGGCCCACTCTCTCCATGGGTCCTTTCACCTGGGGAACTTGTTCACATTCTTCTCATCTTTAGGAAACATCTCCTTAACCCTGTTCTCTTTAGGCAAGTGTCCTACCAACTTCTTTTGCTGAAAAGCCCAGAGAATGGTCTGTGTTCCCTATGTCCTGCTCCTTAATTTCTGTGGTGACTAGTCTCTTACCTCACCAAAGGGATCACCCTTAGTACCAGGCACCCTTCAGTAGCTACATGTGGAGGCTTCATCTCATCTCTCCTGACCTCTTCCATGTGGAGTGTCTCTCTTGCACTGCCGGGCAGCCCTGTAACTGGACCGATTCTGAGGATTCCCTTCCATAGCACTTGCCAATCCTGGTTCCCTCTGTCCTGCGACTTGCCACAGCCTGCGCCTCTCTGGGCTAGTATTTGTAGACAAAGTGTTCTCGGATCACTGGCTCCCAATATCTCTGTGAGTGGCTGTTTGGATTGAGCAAAACAGCCCTGCAGAACTGCAAGGTCTGTGTCACTGTGCTTGTCCCCTACCTTCTAGATACCCAGTCATCCTGTCCATTGAGGACCATTGCAGCATTGCCCAGCAGAGGAACATGGCCCAGTACTTCAAGAAGGTGCTTGGGGACACACTCCTCACCAAGCCTGTGGACATCGCAGCTGATGGGCTGCCCTCTCCCAACCAGCTCAAGAGGAAGATCCTCATCAAGGTAGGGTGGGAGGGTATGCAGTGCCTTCTCAGTGCCTCTCCCTGGCTGGCTACGGCTCCACTGTTGGTCCAGGCCTGTGTGGGGAGGTGGGGCTGTGCCCGGACTGGCATTGCCATATCCTAGTCTGCTTCCCACAGCACAAGAAGCTGGCGGAGGGCAGTGCCTATGAGGAGGTGCCTACGTCTGTGATGTACTCTGAGAATGACATCAGCAACTCCATCAAGAATGGCATTCTTTACCTGGAGGACCCTGTGAACCATGTGAGGGCCAGGCCAGGCTGGGCATGGCGGGGCAGGCCAATGAGATGCGCCTGGCTCACAGGCCCCCCTTTGGTCTATTCAGGAGTGGTATCCCCACTACTTCGTTCTGACCAGCAGCAAGATCTACTACTCTGAGGAAACCAGCAGTGACCAGGGCAATGAGGATGAGGAGGAGCCCAAGGAGGTGAGAGCCAGCCCGTGCTGGAGACCAGGCCAGGGCAGGGCTGGGGTCAGTCACTGAATGTCTTTGCTGTGCCTTCCCCCTGACAGGCCAGTGGCAGCACAGAGCTGCACTCCAATGAGAAGTGGTTCCACGGGAAGCTCGGGGCAGGGCGGGACGGGCGGCACATCGCCGAGCGCCTGCTCACCGAGTACTGCATTGAGACTGGGGCCCCCGATGGCTCCTTCCTAGTGCGGGAGAGTGAGACCTTCGTGGGTGACTACACGCTTTCCTTCTGGTAACTACTTCCAGTGCTGTGTGTGTGCTCGGTCCACATGTGTGCCCAGATGTGACACCACCCAGAGATAACGTGGTTAACATTGGAGCCTTTTGTTCTTACTGGGAACGTGATTTTACCCCCTCCCCCCACACTTTTGGTCCTTGTGCTGCCTCCTGTGGACTGCCCCTACCTGGGCCCTCCCACCATGAGGCTTCATGCCTCTCACTCGCGGTGGACGTGGTCCTCACCCTGGCCTGTTCCCCACAGCACCCCCTTACCTATCTTCCCTCAGGCGGAATGGGAAGGTCCAGCACTGCCGTATCCACTCCCGGCAGGATGCTGGGACCCCCAAGTTCTTCTTGACGGATAACCTGGTCTTTGACTCCCTCTACGACCTCATCACACACTACCAGCAGGTGCCCCTGCGCTGCAACGAGTTTGAGATGCGCCTCTCAGAGCCTGTCCCGCAGACCAATGCCCACGAGAGCAAAGAGTGAGGGAAGGGGCTGACTCTGGCTGGGGGCGGGACGAGGCGGCACTGGCAGGCCTGACTCTGCCTGTCCTCAGGTGGTACCACGCAAGCCTGACCAGAGCACAAGCTGAGCACATGCTGATGCGTGTCCCCCGGGACGGGGCCTTCCTGGTGCGGAAACGGAGTGAGCCTAACTCATATGCCATCTCCTTCCGGTGAGGGGCACGGCCCTGGGGTGTGAGGCCTCACCTGGGTCTGGACTGCCCTGATCGTGTGTGACTGTCCTGTCCTTTTGAAGGGCTGAGGGCAAGATCAAGCATTGCCGCGTCCAGCAGGAGGGCCAGACTGTGATGCTGGGGAACTCTGAGTTCGACAGCCTTGTTGACCTCATCAGCTACTACGAGAAGCACCCGCTGTACCGAAAGATGAAGCTGCGCTACCCCATCAACGAGGAGGCGCTGGAGAAGATCGGCACAGCTGTGAGGGTCTATAGTGGAGGGCGTGGCAGGGGAGTCAGGGCAGACCCAGACAGAAACAGTCACTGCATCATCTGGGTGTGTGTGACAGGAGTGTTGAAGGCACTACTAGGAAGGCCCCTGAGCTGAGAGCCATGATGTGGGTACCAGAAGGGTGTCCTGCAGGGATACATCTAATATGTGTCTGCAAGGATGAGGAGAGGGATGAAGGAGAGGGACCCCCGTGATGCCAAGTGTAGGGTGAGGAGGTTCTGGAGAACCCCATAGGGAGGTGCACACACCCGCCAGAGGCTCTCCAGCTGGCCTGGCCCGGACTCATCCCAGGGCAGAGGAGAGCAGTACAGATGTGGTTGTGGAAATTCTCTCTGGTGGCTGGTGTGAGGGCAAAACTACAGGAGGTGAAACTAGTGAAGAAAGAAGGCAGGACCAGTAGCAACAGGGTGATGAGGGTTCTGGTTCATGACCTTGGATGGAAGGAAGGAGCCTAAGGTGGGTGATCAGTTGAGACTATTGTCCTCAGTGGACACCAGCAGCCAGATGGAGGCCTGTTGTCCCCTGGGGCCTGGGGCCCAGCTTGAGGAAGGAGAGGCAGAAGTGTGCTGGGGGTGGGGAGCACCCTGACTTTGGGCCTAGCAGGGAGCCAGTGAGCCACTGCACAGGGCATGGAGTCTGGGGAGCCTGTGGGGACACCTTCAGGTATCTCAGAGACTGAAAGTTTGGATGGAGATTTTAAGTGGAATGGCCCTTAAGAGTAAGAATGTAAAGAAAGGAGAGGAGGACCCCAATGGACCAGCTGTCAGTGAAGAGGGCGGGCTTGGTGGCCTGGTAAGGAAGGCCAGGTGGAATTTGCTGCACTGGGAAAGGCGTATGTAGAGGCAGCTACTGCCTTTCGCCTTTGGGCTGTGGAGCATGAACATACCCCATTGTGTCCCATGTCCAGGAGCCCGACTACGGAGCCCTGTATGAGGGGCGCAACCCTGGCTTCTATGTGGAGGCAAACCCGATGCCGACTTTCAAGGTACATCTCAGCCTCTAGGCACAGGAAGCTGGGAGGGTCCCCCGCTGCTGGGGGCTTGCCTGTCTGCGGTCTTTGTGGAGAAGTGTGGTTGTGGTTTTCTGAGGCCCAAGAGGTTGTAAGATGTGTGTGTGTGGAGTGACCGCAGGCCTCCCAGGGCCAACTCACTCTCTAGCCCCTATCTCCTGAGATTAGCACTGACCCTTCTAGATTGTTCCCTAGGGGTAATCCCCATTTCCTCCAGCAGCAATAGGGCAGGGGGGGAATACATGGGCCACTCACTCTCATCCTCATGGGGCTCTGTCACACAGGGTCTTCCTCTTTCTGCCTTTTTCTCTGAGGTTTAGGGACCTGTGCTCCCTTCCTCACCCCCCCTCAGGGGCAGGGGCCCTGGGGGCCAGGGAGAGGGTTCCTTGTTCCACTCCTTGTGTAAGGAATGGTGGAGCCCCAGCCATACCTATAGACCTACAGGTTCTGGGTAGGTGCTCGGGGCAAGACACTCCTTTCTTGGGACAATTCAAGGTTTCCCCTGGAGCCCAGGGTGGAGTGTACAAGGGTCCAGTTGGATCTGGGAGAGCTTCGCTGGCAGAGGTCCCACCTCTCCCCGAGTAGCTGTGTCCCATAGCCTCTCTGCAGGGCAGTGGCATCTCCCACCAGGAAGCCTGCGTGCACATGTGCACACATGAGGCCGCAGACTAGGAGTGACAGGGAGGCCTCTCTGCTGCAGCCAGTACCTCTCACCCTGTAGTGTGCAGTCAAAGCCCTCTTTGACTACAAGGCCCAGAGGGAGGATGAGCTGACCTTCACCAAGAGTGCTATCATCCAGAACGTGGAGAAACAGGAGGGAGGCTGGTGAGTCAGGAGTCCTGGGCCCCCCGGCTATGGCACAAAGAGGAACGTTGGTCCCATGGGTGCACAGCAGTGCTTGCCTTGGCCTGGCGCAGGTGCAGAGCCCCCAGCAAATGTGCCCTTCTTGTGGTAGAAGGGGCTCAGCACCCTGTGGTTCCCACAGGTGGCGAGGGGACTATGGAGGGAAGAAGCAGCTGTGGTTCCCGTCAAACTATGTAGAAGAGATGGTCAGCCCAGTGGCCCTGGAACCTGAGAGGGAGGTAAGACCAGAGCCAGTGGGCAGAATGGGATTCCCAGTCCAGATTCTCCTCTGCTCATGCCCATCACATACCCAGGCACGCCTGTACGTGCACAGACACTGACCATCACACAGGCCAGTCGCAGTCTATGTGGCTATACTCGTGGTCTAAGGCATACCTGTGCCTCATTGGACAGTTTGGGTCTACCCACAAGTCGTTTCTTTCATGTGCTCATGGAGTCCCCCCTCATGCACGCATGTAGTAGCCATGCTGACCACTCATGGGCTTTGCACTTGTGCCTCCCACAGCACTTGGATGAGAACAGCCCCCTGGGAGACTTGTTGCGGGGGGTCTTGGACGTACCGGCTTGTCAGATCGGTGAGCACCCATACCTTCTCTCGCTCACTGTTCCTTAGGGTGAGGCTCTCCTTTGTGTCTCTTTCCTGCTCCTAGAGAGGAAGCAGATGGCTGAACCCCAAAGGCTGCCCTCCCTCCAGCTTTCCCATAATTCTGGACGTTCCTCAGTCACCCCCAGCTCTGACCCCTGCATGCTTGCCCTATGCCTGGCACTATGGAGCCTGTCAAAATTAACAGAGAGCTGAGTGCTGACAGCTGGCTGGTAGCTGCTGTCCTGATGGGTTGGAGCACCAGCTTTCCTGTGGCCACCACGACTTTTCTCTGAGTTGCAGGATCCTCCTCTGTGAAATGGGCCTGTATAGCAGCCTTCTCTCCTGGGGTGTGGGGAGGAGGAAACAGAGGACTCACTGGAGCCAGATGTCCGTCTGCAGCTCCTGTTTTCTCTCCCCTCCCAGCCATCCGTCCCGAGGGCAAGAACAACCGGCTCTTCGTCTTCTCTATCAGCATGGCATCAGTGCCCCACTGGTCCCTGGATGTTGCCGCTGACTCCCTGGAGGAGCTGCAGGACTGGGTGAAAAAGATCCGTGAAGTGGCCCAAACTGCAGATGCCAGGGTTAGAACCTTCTGGAGCCTGGAGGGTTGGGGTAGGGAGTAGGGGTTGGATGGGCAGTATGTGGGCATCTAGGTCCTCCAGCTCTCAGCACCAGCCCCCTCTGAGCAGTGGAACAGCCTGTGCTGGCCAGGCCATGGCCCCCTGCTTTAGGTGAGGATCCAGACACACAGACAGAAGTGTGGTGTGTTGAGGAGCTGAGATACCCATGAGCGATCCAAGTCAGTCAGCTTAGTGCACAGTTGAATATATAAGGCCACAGCTAAGAGGAATCCTGGGCTGGAAGCAGGAATGGGGCCCAGAGATATGGAAGGGTGAAGTGATACGTGGTATAGCGCAGGAAGAGAGCTTGGGATAGACTCTGGGGAAGCTTCAGGGAAGAGAGTGTGGTCAAGGAAGGTAGCCCAGGAAGGGTAGGCCAGAGAGGCTGGAGGCTACCAGGGAAGAGGAGGATCCGGGTAGAGATAGGCAGGGTAAGCACCTGAAAGTGCATGTTAGATTTAGTAGCAGCAAAAAGCCATGGTGACACTACTGGGCCAGGTCAGTGGTATGGCTGGGTTTGATGGCCATGGGAAGCAGGGAATCTGGAATGGTAAAGGCACAGGCCTCTGGGCCCTGGTAATGAGGGAGTAGATAGCTGAAGGAGGAAGCAGAGCATGGGAGGAGATAGAGCCCAAGCTTAGATGGAAGAACCAACCTTCTGGAGGAAGAAGGCCTCTTCCACTGAGTCTGAGGGAACAGAAATACTCTCCAACATAAAGGAATTCCTACTTGGTGGCCATTTCACTGAGTTAACCTGCAGGTGGGTCTGTAGCTGCTTTGGTGAACAGAACCTATAAGCCAAGCAGAGAAGGGCTGGGATGCTGGGGTGTGTCCAGGAAGAAAAGGGTACTGGCAGACCAGCTGGTTAAAGGGCTGGATCCTGGGGTCCAGGCTGGAGAGGGAAGGAAGAGTCTGAATATAGGAGTGGCGGAGTGAAGTAAGGGGACCTCCCGGAGCAAGAGGACAGGAAGGCAGGCCCTGGAGAGGGCCTCTGTGGCTGAGATTTGATAAGGAGAGTAGGTAGTGGTGTTAGAGTGGGGGGCCTGAGGCAGTGAGGGTGTTCATTAAGATGGAGACTAATCCAGGGGGCCCTATCCCCACGCAGTCACAAGTAACCCAGTTTTCCCAGGGATGAGGCTGGGTAATGAATGATCCCTGAGAGGTCACTGGGGACATGGATGGTGATAATTCTGCCCCCAAGAGGGTTGGAGAGCAATAGAGGAGAGGAAGGATTCTGGGACGAGGACACAGCCCTGGTTCACTGTCTAGTGGGATCTGCAAGGTGTAGGGGAGGAGGCAGGGCCCAGGTACCTGCAGTGTGAGTGTGCCGCACCTGGTAGGGGCTGCTTCTCTGGGGCAGGGCTCTAGACTGGAGTTACAGGGCCTTGTGTGTTTCACCAGCTCACCGAAGGGAAGATGATGGAACGGAGGAAGAAGATCGCCCTGGAGCTCTCTGAGCTTGTTGTCTACTGCCGGCCTGTTCCCTTCGATGAAGAGAGTAAGGGCCAGGGCCCAGGTGGGATGTGCATGTGCCTTGGGGCCCTGGTGGAGCAGGCACCCTCCATGGTGGGTGCAAAAGGAGTATTTCGTCTCCTCTAGTCCTGCCTGAGTGGGCAGGCTCTGTAAGTATTCTCCTTGTCTGGCCCAGAGATTGGCACAGAACGTGCCTGCTATCGGGACATGTCATCCTTTCCGGAAACCAAGGCTGAGAAATATGTGAACAAGGCCAAAGGCAAGAAGTTCCTCCAGTACAATCGGCTGCAGCTCTCCCGCATCTACCCCAAGGGCCAGCGGCTGGACTCCTCCAATTACGACCCCTTGCCCATGTGGATCTGTGGCAGTCAGCTTGTGGCCCTCAACTTCCAGACCCCAGGTAAGGGAGTCCCCTGTGGGGCAGGCAGGGCAGGGCAGGGCAGGGACAGGGCTCTGTGGGGCATTCGGGCTAGAATGAAGCATAACCTGGCTTTTCAGACAAGCCTATGCAGATGAACCAGGCCCTCTTCATGGCCGGCAGGCACTGTGGCTATGTGCTGCAGCCAAGCACCATGCGGGACGAGGCCTTCGACCCTTTTGACAAGAGCAGCCTCCGCGGGCTGGAGCCGTGTGCCATCTGTATCGAGGTAGGCAGTGTTCACCTGGCTTTTGGGGTGGGAAAGGGACTGCTCTCTGGGCTATGTTTATGCTGAAGAAAGTCAGGAGTCAGGGCTGGGAAGCTGGCTAGTGGGAGAAAGCAGGACCTCTGTGTCTTGTATGGGGAGGGCCACTGGAGCTGGGCTGTTTCTGAGATCGAGGAAGATGTAACTGAAGATGTAACTGTTCTCTGAGGTTGAAAGGCAGCTGCAGGCCCCCACTATGAGCCTGGGATCCAGGTGGCATAAGGTAGAGGCAGCTGGGCAAACAGCAGCCAGTTCTTGGTGCAAAGGGTTTGGGCTATCCAGTAAGGCCATGCTGTGGGTAGCCAGTGCCTGGCAGGAATAGGCTGGTTGGGGTAGCAGAAGACAGGAAGCTAGGGACCAGTCTGCAGGAACCAACTAGAACTAGACTTAAGTGAGAGTAACCACCAGTTCCATACCTTTTCAAGGCCCCCAGAGCAGCGTCACTCACTGGGAAACATCCTTGAGCATCCCTGGCATGCCCCTGGTAAAAAGCTGTGACCAAGGCCGGCTTGGTGCTGTGGGGATTGGGGCAGGTGGGGGTCAGGATAGGCAGGTAGGGCCTGAGCAGTATCTTAGAGGAGGAGTGAGACACCACGAAGTGCACCGTGCACATCCAGGACATGTGCAGAGCCTGGGGCTTCCATCTCCCAAGAAGAGTGTTTTATTTTTCTTCTTAAGGGGAAGTAATTTAAGGGATTTCCATGTTTCCATGTTAAAACAGACATGGGTCGAATGTGAAATGGATTGCAAACCCCATGAAAATTTTGGCTAAAGCTAAAATTTCTTCTCATGAACTTCTATGGACAGTTGCTGCTCTAGGCCTTCTAGGGCCCTGCTGCAGTAAGGGACTTTATAGGCAGTGTCCTTGAGGCCCAGTAGAGGGTGCACTGCCTCCATGTCACAGGTGCTTCCTGAGTCTTGCAGTGGGGGACTGGGAAGGAACAGGAAAGACAGTCCCAGGCCCATCTTTGCCTGCCTCACAGGTGCTGGGGGCCCGGCATCTGCCAAAGAATGGCCGAGGCATAGTGTGTCCTTTTGTGGAGATTGAGGTGGCTGGAGCTGAGTATGACAACGCTAAGCAGAAGACAGAATTTGTAGGTGAGTCCACCTTCTTGGTCGTCTTCCCAGGGACAGTGAGAGCCCCTGCCCTCAGCTGCCCGATCCTCTCCCAGGGTGGCCTGAAGCCTTCTCATACTTTTGCAGTGGACAATGGACTTAACCCCATGTGGCCGGCCAAGCCTTTCCACTTCCAGATCAGTAATCCTGAATTTGCCTTCCTGCGCTTTGTGGTGTATGAGGAAGACATGTTCAGTGACCAGAACTTCCTGGCTCAGGCTACTTTCCCAGTAAAAGGCCTGAAGACAGGTGAGGACCCTTCAGATACAGCCCCCATGATCTTCCTGCCAGAATCAGGCTGCGCCCCTTGCTTAGCTCCCTGCTGTACTGAGAGCCAGGCATTCCTCCTCTTAGGATACAGAGCGGTGCCTTTGAAGAACAACTACAGCGAGGACTTGGAGTTGGCCTCCCTGCTTATCAAGATCGACATTTTCCCTGCCAAGGTAACTGTAGCACGGGTGGGCTGGCCTGGGGTGCAGAGAAAGCCAGGTAGCAGCTTCCTGAGGTGCGGGAAGTCATTGCCCTCTTGTGCATCTGCCCTTGTTGTTAAAGCAGGAAAACGGTGACCTCAGTCCCTTTGGTGGTACGTCCCTGCGAGAGAGGGGCTCAGATGCCTCTGGCCAGCTGTTTCATGGCCGGGCCCGGGAAGGCTCCTTTGAAGCCCGCTACCAGCAGCCATTTGAGGACTTCCGTATCTCCCAGGAGCATCTCGCAGACCATTTTGACAGTCGGGAACGAAGGTGAGGGTGATGGAGGGATGCCGGAGCCAGGGAGACAATGGCTAGGGCCTACTTAACTATCTTTCTCCTGGGTAGAAAAGTTATAATTGTCAGGCTTTGGGCTGTTCCATCAGCCTGCAAGTCCCAGCTACCAGTAAGGACACTCTTCCCTTCTGTCCAGGGCCCCAAGAAGGACTCGGGTCAATGGAGATAACCGCCTCTAGGGCCCCAGCCTTGCTGGAGAGGAGCAGGTGCTATGCGCCTCGTGGAATGCTGTGAACTGGGTTCTTCGGAAGCAGCCTGCTCTGGCAGCCTTCCTGGTCTTACAGCCTGGAGCCTGGATTCCCAGCAGCGAATGCTGGACAGAAACCAAGCCATGAATGAGACATATCACCGTTTGGGGACCCCATGCCCCAGCTCTGGGTGAAGGCAAAAACTGTACTGTGTCTCGCATTAAGCACACACTCTGGCCCTGACTTTGGAGATGGATCCTTCGGTCTTGGGCCAGGACCACGTTTGAAGCCCCTTGGAGAGAGAGGATGGCCTCTGTGGCATAGGAGGCGCTAAGGAGCCACTGACATTCCTGAGAGTAGAGGGGAAGGTGGAGCCTTGCTGGGCCAGGGAAACAAAGTTTACATTGTCCTGTAGCTTTAAAACCGCAGGGTGAGAGGGCTCAGGCCCCTGCAGTTTGGCCCTGGAGCTGGGGTAGAGGAGTGCAGGGCCTGTGTGGAGAAGGGCTCTGCCCTGCCAAGGAGGAGGACACAGCACAAGGGCACATTGCCCACAGCTGGGAACATTACCCAGCCTGGAAGATACAGGGGATCATGTTAAAAATAGCAGTATTATTTTTCTTCTCAATGGTATTGTAACTAAGTTATTTACTCCTCCCGCTCGCTCTTCACCCTTGTAGGGGAAGCCTCAGAGTAGAGCCTCTGAGAGCGAGGCAGGGGCTACCAGCCTGTGGGGAGGGCTCTATGGGGGATGTTAGGGCACCCTCAGGAATGAGGGAGGGAAGGGAAGAGAAGAAACAGCAGAGCCCATTCTGGTGAGGTTTCTTGTTTTCTGTTTTTAAGGCAGAGACTCAGTGTACTTTCCCGTAGGAATGAAAAAGGGATTAAGGAGTTGCCTGCCTTGCGGGTAGGTGGGGGAAAGGCAGGCAGGTGCTGAATGAAGCTTCTGTCTGGTCTAAAAAGATCCGAGGAAGGAGGCAGGACGGTTGGGAAGGCAGTCCCCACCTCTGAGGAGAGAGGCTGGGGTGCAGGCCTGTGGGCTCAAAGGTGCCTCATAGCATAGCCAGCATTCAGCACACGCAAACCCATTGCCCACACTTGGGCTCAGGGTTGGCCATTTGCTAGTTCTGCTGCCCTCTTAAGATCTGACTGCCAAATAAATCATCCTCATGTCCTTTTTCCTTTTAATTTGTATGCTTTGGGGGGACTCAGGAAAGCCTGTTGTGGGGAGATAATTGCCTGGTAATGATTGTGCTGCAGTAGAAGCAGGTGGGGATTTCTGGAAACCTCTCATGTCAAGCAGATCTTCCCTCTGGACTAACAGGCTAGCCACCCTCTCCCCAGTCCTCCAGGGGAATAGCTGAACAGTGCATCTCATCTCTCTGTCAGCAGCTTTGGTGGTGAGCAGGAAGCAATGAGACCCTTCCAGTTCCATGGAAGCCTCTCCTTTCCTGATCAGAGAAGGAAGAGGATCATGCTGGCCCTCCCTTAGGGTCTGTCTGTGCGTCGTGTCATTGGCTTGTTAGTGTTGACCACTTTAATTTTCATCAGTACCTCCATTTACTGAACAAGTGTCCTTCTGGAACATGACCTGGGGGAGCTACAGCTCCACCTTCCCTAAGCAGTTTCACAGGCCAAGGCTTGAGGCTCACTATCTTGGGAAGATTGCTTTTGTCTCTCCCTGCCAATGTTTTGATCTTTCGTCCCTGTGAAAAATGCATCAACCCTCAGTAAAGCAGATTTTAAGGATCAGTTTCATCTCAGATTCCTCTAGACAGAGCTGATAATTGTTGATTGACCCAGAGGCTCAACACAGGCATGTGTTGCTGGGGGAGACCCTTACTTGGGGCTGCATGTCTTGGAATCAGCAGCTGCTTGCTCACCTGGTGCATTGTTGTCTCAGCCCTTGGCAGCAGGTTAGCACCACCTGGGGAGCTGACAATGCCAATACCTGGAGCCCTTGCATAGGTATTGTTTAGAAGCACCCAAGGTCATTTGAATAGTAGGGTTGAGAATCACTGGTTTGGGTAAAGGAAGCCTAAAGAACAAGATCAGGAGAGTGGAGGTCAGGGGTATTAGGGCACAAGCAGAGAAGCAGTCTGGCTCCTCCATAGTTCCACATTCCCCTGTGGTCACCAGTGGGACCTGCTCTTGGCTGACTGGTTGGCTGCCTGGGGCTAGAAGCTCACTTCTCTTTCAACTTGAGCCCATCATCTCACCATCATCAATTCTGTAGAGGGAAAAAAGTACCAGGTTATCCTACCAAACTATAATAGGACTATGTGGTCAAAGTAAAAGTCACGCCTTCCATATTTTAATAAATCAAGCCCTATCTCATCCTGGGACTCCTCTCCCTGGGTCCACCGCCTAATCATATCCAGGGGACCAATGCCCAGGGGTAATCTGGGCATTCTGTTCCCTACCTGGAGGCCACTCTGCTGCCCTAGGGAAGCTCACAGCAGCCCCCTGCTGGCCACTACTACCCTCTCCACACATCATGTGTCCCAACTGAGCCAGTGCCTGAGGCCACCACTGTGGGCTTCTGCTGCTCTTCAGACTCCTCATCACATAGCTGCTTTCCTGAGACCTAAGCTGGCTTCTGAAAAGGCCCTGGTGTCCCCAATCACTACCCCAAGACCACTGCCACGTCTTAGTATGGCTCCACCCTGGGTGCTTTTATTTCAGGGATCCCCTTTTCATTCTGCCATAGGCCCTTAGGGCCATTCCAACAAAATTCATTTGCTTCTGATCTCTTTGGGTCCCTGGTGCATGTTTGCTAACCCCTCACCCAGTGACCTCAGCTTGTCACTGTACTTGCGGGGGGGTGGGGGGGGTGCTAGTGTCCTTTCACCAGGTATCTGATTATACCAAGTTTGACTCAGTTTCCCTTTCTTTAGCATAATTAATAAAATGTCACAGTTCTTTGATGGAGAAGCCATTCCAGTGAATTCAGCAGTGCAGGAAAAGGTGGGTTGGAACTTCTCAGTGAGCTGAGCGGAACTGCCTCACTTACTGGAGTTTTACGGTACACCAGCAAATGTGAAATGTTTGAAGTCTTTGTGACTTCCCCACAAAATAAGTCAGCAGATGTGAAGTGTTATTTACAGTTTTATTTAGGAACAACCAAAAGGTTTGAAGTACCATTGAGTCCCATTTCAAACCAGACAAGCAATTTGTCCCTGTTCCCCTCCCCTTATCCTCCTATGTGGATAAACCTCACTTATCCAAATCCACGAGATACAAAATGTAAGAAATGTGCAATTTGCATTAGAGATAGCAGCATCCCCACAGGGGACCTTGTGAGGCCTGGAGACTCAGCCCAGAGAAGGCAACTAGGCTCCCTCTACCTCAGCACCACCACAGTCCAAACCAAAGTCAATGTTTTTGTGTTAAAAAAACATTTACCCAGAGCAAAGAATTCCCCTTCTACCCAGGCCTATGTGACAGAATATGCCATTTTCTTGGTTTGGTCTCTCCTGCACGGCCCAGCAGGAGACAGGATCCTTTTGTACAGTTTGGCTAAAGTGTCAGTTTGCTTCCAGTGACAGGGCAGTTGCCTTTTAGCACCAAGATGATCACTCCTTCCGCTGGCTCTAGAGCTGGGGAGCACACTACCAGCACCCACCAGCGGCTACTTCCCAGCTTCACTTCCCACCAGTCCAGCTACAGGGAACAAAGGGGTCTGCACTGAAGACCAGAATACAAATGGACGCAGGAAAGCAGACGGGGGGGCCCTCGGCAGATCTGTAGGCCTTTGGCAACCTCCCTGACTTCCACAAAGGCCGTGCTCAGTGAAACTCTCAATGAACAATGGCCAGCAGGGGACAGGGGAAGGTTGGCATGTTTTCTCTTTAATAACAATTATGGCACAGTCTGACCCCCTGACCCAGCTGAACAAAGCAACTGCTCAGAAGTGTGGTGGAACTTGCCGCACGGGGGCAACCATTTCCCCCAGCCCTGGCCCAGTTTTGTGGCAAGCAGCCTGATGATCACTCTGGGGGAAGGGGAGGAGTGGGCACCAGCTCTCCAGGCTCCAGCCAACAGTCTCACATGGAGCTCTACCCTATTTCAAGCAAAGTGCAAGAACGGGAGCTGTATTGACAATGAACCACGAACGGGTGACAAGGTCTCTCCCTTAAACACAGATTACAGGACACAGGTGCCACGTACGTGGTGAGTGCTCCCCTCAGCATTTCTACTTGGGTGTGACTCTTGGAAAGAGCAAACAACACAGTGACTGAACATCCTTTATCTTGGACATTTCACCTTCAACTCCAGTCACACTGAGTAATTTTAAATCATTCATCATGGAAAGGAAGGAGTTTAAAAAGCATTAGACAAGAAATGCTGTTACCACATACAGGTGCCTGGACACAGGTTCCCCAAGCTGGTCTCCTGAAGGAAGAGGCATGTTAATAATGGCAGGTGAACACTGATTGCCCTCAGGTGCCCTGGAGCTCACCACCTACATGAGTGGACAGTGGGGAAGACAGGCGGCCACAAGAGGAGATGCCCTGCTCACCGTGCTCCCTCGGCTCTGCCTCACTGGAGCAGCCCCAGGTTCTGAAGGCTGCAGGGCCAGCAACAGCAAAGCAGTAGCTATACATTCTTTGTGAATCCTCGCTGTTGTGCAAATTACAAGATGGGATTTTTTTTTTTTTAAATCAAGGAAGGGGTGCTTGCCTGTCCTTGTTCATATGGTAACCATAGTCTGCTTAGTCTCATCCCAAGCTTCTGGGTTTCTTCCCCTGCTATAGACATCAGTGCAGGTAGAATGGATGATTCCTGCTGTATCCAGCCAGGGCTAAGAGGAAACTCTTCACTATCCCATCTCCAGGCTGGTATAGAGGTCAGATTCATGGGCAGTCCCAGGATGGCAGGCTAGTGTTGATGGGAGAGCTCTGTGTATACTCCTGTCACATCACAGCCAAGTCCAACTGATGCTGCCTCAGTTCAGAGAGGGCTTGAGTTAGCTACCCTGACACACGCTACCCTTCCCAGCGTGGCCTGGCATGTTCCAGCAGAAACTTGTTGGTTCGATTTGCACTTAAAGCTGGGCTGGGCCACAAGCCAAGCAGCCCCTTGACTGACACTTCATCTAGTCACTTGACCAAAACGAGAACTGTTGGTCACTTTGCTGATAAGGTCTCCTCAGCCACATCAGCCCTGGCTATGCACACCCCAACCCTGGCCTTGTCTCATTTAAATGGCCAGAGGAGCCGCATGGTGGCTACCACAGACTGAAGCTCACTTGGGGAGCGATCCAGAGCTCAGGTGCTCCCTGGCCAGCCACGGACTGAGCAGATGCTTGGGAGAGGCTTGTGCTCAGCGACAGAGAGGGCAGGAAGCTGGTCAAGAGACCATGAAGAGGGGGCTCTCCATCTGGAGTGAGCAGGAGCAGGACCAGGCCCTGCAGCGGCCCAACCTGGGCCAGCTACTGCACTCTGGCCTAGAACTCTGGCTGTGTGGACCTTCCTGTGTCTAGAAGATTTTTCTTCTCCAACATACAAGTGAGCCTTGCAAATGAATGTGAGACATGGAGATTTAAACTTAATACTAAAGTACATCTTCTGCAAAAGAGGGGTGAACTGATAAACTCCCCCCAGATAGACTCTGAGCAAGGAAAAAGTTGGGGGACTTTAGGAAAAGGCCAAACTTCAGGTTTGGTTTTAAGATTTTCTCTTTGCCTGGATCTCCTCCCCTGCACAGTGCTTTGATCCAATTGGGCTATGATGTTCAAGTTGACAAAGCTGGTCCAGTCTGAGGATTTGGGTCAATGAAGAAACTAGAAAAATAAGAGGCAACAGGACCCAAGACAGGGACAGCATGAGCATGGAGCTGAGGGAGAGGACGCCCAAAGCATCCAGTAGAAAGGCAACACCCGCCCTCTGTCTCAGGAGGGAACACAGGACCTGTCACTGGGCAGGATAAAACCCACGAGAGCCACATTTCAGCCTGGATAACACAAACTTCCTGGTAAGACAGCCTCCCAAAGTCAGCTGGGGATGAGACCAATAGTAAACATGGGAGCCCACAAGGTACCACCAACACCCTCCTTTTGCTACCAGACAGCAGGATTTGGGGTCCTTGGGTCAAGGTGCTTTGGTCCACCTGAACATCTCGGTCACTCGGCCAAGAGAAAAGAGGTCTAAGGGGTACAGTCTTGGACACAAATACCAAACCCCAAGTGCTAGCAGCCCATCCAAGTAGGGCATTCTTTTTCAGGAAGCCAAAAAAATACTCTTCTCAAATCAAAAAGCTCCTCTAAAGCCAAAAATGAAAACAAGTAATCAGCATATGCAAAGTATATGCATCAAAAGTTCAAATGTCCTTTATCAGAATGGTGGTCTGGTTTCACCTGTGAGAACTGGATCTATAACCCCATGTATAAAACATAACAGCTACAAGTCATAGGCAACAAGAAATGCTGAAAGGATTTTACTATCTCTGATGAGTCCAAGTGTGTACAGAAAAGAGAGATTAGTCACCTTATAAAACAGGCTTTTTCTTGAGGAGAGACCAACCCCGCCCCACCTCTCAGCTCCGCAGCCCATAGAACCCTTCAGCAGAAGGCGACAGACAGCACAGAGCTCACCTCAGCAGTGTGCAAAACCACAGCCGTCTGGCCTTCCACAGGGCTGCATGACTGGCTGCTGCCATCCCATGTCCCACTGCCTCGTGTGGACGTGTCTCTGCTCCACTGGCTCTGTTCAGGGTTTTGTCCCCAAAGCCTTGGGTACCTGCTACAATGTCCCTTTAAGCACCAGCCTGATGACAGCCTCCCTCAGCATCACCTTTGATCGTTTTATTCTTTCACGCATGAGGTGCAGACCACACTGACTCATTCCCTTCCAAGAACACAGGAAGGGAAGGGTCTGTCCAGTTGCTGGGCTCTCACTTGGGCAGTCTTGTGTAGCCCTGGCTATTGGGCAGGGCCAACACTTGGGGAAAAACGTGCCAAGGCAGGCAGCACTGTAACTCTTCCACCTAAAAGATGAGCTGGTGCCCAAGGCTGGGTTGTTTTCTGTGTCCTGTATAAACTTGTCCACCAAGCAACATACTCTGCTTCACTGTTTGGTTTCTAAATTAAAAGTGAATACAAATAAAATAACCAAGAAAAGCCTCTCCACAGACACAGCCCTTCCACCAGTGCATGCAGGGCTCTAGAGGTGATGCTGGCAGGATCTGGAGGTGAGGCACTGGACAGTTTCTCTTGACTCCTGGAGAGGGCTTCATGCTGGGCTGCCTAGCCACCTAGAGCGCTGGCATTCCCTCCAACACAGGCCACTTCACGACACCCAGGTGCCACCAAGTTCCTCATGTACACGTCAGGTGTATGTTTTACAAGTATCAAATGCATCTTTGTACTGTATATGTGTATGTATAAATTAACCTGCATGTACTCAAACACGAAAGGAGAAATTCCAGGTGTCTGTTCTCTGAAGGAAAGCAATCACTCACCATTCTTGGCCATTCCTCAAAGGCTTTTAGGACTAAGTAGCTTCACTCCCAAAATGCAAAGGATACAAAAATAGGCGCAAAACTTGCCAGGTACTCACAAGTCCCCTGGTAGAGACAAATAAGAGGTGGTCCCTTTGGGGGACAAGAAGGACAGAAGACAACACTTCAGAATAACAATGGTTCAGGCCTTTTGGTTTCCAAAGAAAGCCCTTTCCTGGAAGGCAGGAGGTACTACCACCATGCCCATCCTCAGAACCAAGCCAGCAGGGCCTGCCTCCCTAGGTGGGATGGGGGAGGAAGACAGCGCCTAAACCATCAGCAGTGTTTCCTGCCCAAAGCTGCTGCCGTATCTTGGGGCTCACCAAGTGCTTCCACCCAGCCCAGCCCCAGGGGGAGTGTGCCCACCAGGCCCTGAGGCCTATGGCTTGGCACTTTGGGAAGCAGGTGGTTTCTAAGAGGTGACGGGGGCTACAGGTGACAGGTCTACAGCCACTCCCTGTACTCACTGCTCTTAGGGAAATCAGGGATTTACCATTTAGTAAAGCTCTGCAAGCAAGTTTTCTAATTTTTTGAGGCAAGTTTTCCTGATTTTCTCAATTCAAAAAAGGAAATGAGGGTGAGGGTAAAGTAGATAGAGTTCTTATTTCCAAGTTTGGGATATAAAGCTTTAGAAACATCCTAACCAGGACCTGTCCAGTGATGTTCAGCACCTGCAGGTGTGTACCCAGCATGCCAGCCAGGCCCCGGGCATGAGGGCTAGGACCCCCATATATATGTCCTTGTACTGAAGACTACCCCAGCTCTGATAATTCCAGAAAGCCCTGGAATCCTTTCTGCCCTTACTCTTAATACTGGGCCAAGGGTTCTTCCTTCCCAAACCACAGGAGGCTCTGAAGTGAGTGCAGACAAAGGGCCAAAGTGCCAACCTCGGTGGCCAGAGCTACAGATTGTGACTGTACACTCCCACCACTTCCATCTCCATCCCTACTCCCATTGCTTTTTTCCATTTTCCTCTCTAAATGTGTCTAGAATAAAAAATTTTTAAAAGGCAGGCACATAGGTCATTAGGCTTAGCAACAAATATTTCTTTAGTTGATCTAATAACTAAAAACTTATGGTCCATGATTCCAATGTTCATGATAAAGCAGAGTTATGCTAATGACTACAGAAAGTGGTAAATATCCAACACAAATCACTTAGCCGGTCTGTTTTTTGAACTGAGGTTAACAGTGGGTTTTGCACTGAAGTCCACAAGGCAAGGCAAGCCTGGCATGTAACATGGCTGGTCACAGCTCAATGCAGCAGAATCTCTTCAAAGGTATTGCTTCTTTTAGGAATGCAAAGGGGACACCCAGTGGGGAGGTTCCAGATGCAGTTCTGAGTGTGCCTGCCCAACTGTGGAAGGTGAGGGCACCTGTGACCCAGCAATCCCCAGAGAACAGACACAGGCATGTTCAGAGATGATGTGAAGGGTCATGTGCTGCTTTGCTAACCAAAGTTTTTATGTAAAGAAAGTGTTTATAATCTGATGTTTTATTTAACATATATAGGCAGCTGTATATGTTAAACACTTGATTCTGTGTCTATGAATATGAAATCTGAACTATTTAATCCACTAGAAGGCAAAGGGAAGGTCCCACGCTGTGGAGGAAGAACTGGCGAGAACCCTGTTCCCGCTGTTGGCGGTGGGCAGGCGAGGGCGGCGGCAGCAGTGGCGGGCTCTGGGCTGTCTTCAAGGCCTCCAGAAGCGCTCTCGGATGCCCAGCGGCCGCGCACGGGAACGGCATGTGGCAGCAGACAGTCAGGGTGGCCCTTCCACAGGGCAGGCGGCATCCCAGACAGGCCAGTCCTTCACAGTAATCGGATCAAATTCAGTCTGTTTCTGAGGAGAAAACACATGCCTGTCAAAACCCCCGGGGAGCTTGGTCCTTCATATTCCAGGGCGGCATCACTGGCTTTGAGGACCTTATAATTCCATGAGCAGCCACTCCCCCTCTTTCCAGCCTGAGGGAGTGTGGGGACAGGATACTGGCTCAAGCTGGCAAGGCATCAAGACTCTCCCAGGGCCCTTGCAAATCCCAGGTCTAGCAGTTGGAGTGGCAGTGGTGGCCTCTCCAGGCCATTAATCCTCACTCCCAAGCTGCTGCCACCTCTGAGTCCCGTCCTACAAAGCTCCATCCGGCCCTCTCCCTCTTGGCCCTGGGGAACACAAGGTACTAATATAATAGTAGCCAGCTTCAGTTTCCAGTATGTGTTCTACAGGTGTCTTTACTCCATTTGTGACTTGCAACCCTAGAGCTGCATTGCTGGTCAGAAGTTCATTACCCGTGCCACATGCAGAGACAGATGACCCTTACCTCGCTGCTGGTTGAGAAAGCTGGGAGAAACCAGGTCTAGACACCTATGCCCATAGATACCTGCCCCACATAGAAGAGGCAGATGCCCCCCCACCACTCCTTCTCCAACAGTTCACTTGGTGTTGGATTTAGTAGCTGAGGGGAGTCAATGCTTGTGACTCAAACCTACTCATCACATCTCCATGTTGGCTTTTTTTTTTTTTTTGCAGTTTTTGGCCACCTCCAGCATATGGGGCTGGTGCCCTACTTCTTGAGCCACAGGCATGTTGGCTTTTTAAAACTATTATGATAAAAGGTACATAACATAAAAATTTACCATTATAACTTTTTTGAGTGTACAATCCAGCAGCATTAAGTAAATTCATAATGTTATGAAGTCATCAGCCTATTGCCAGAATTTATCTATCATCCTAAACAGAAATTCCATATCCAGTAACTCCTCATTTCTCCCTCCCCCAGGCCCTGATAACCTCTATTCTACCTTCTCTCTCTGTGAATCTGCCTATACTAGATGCCTCGAATAAGCAGAGTCATACAATATTTATCTGTGTCTGGCTTATTTCACTAAAAATAGTATCTTCAAGGTCCATTCATGTTGTAGAATGTATCTGTGTTTTATTCCTTTTTAAGGCAGAATAATATCCCAACGTGTATCTACATATATACCACGTTTTGTTTATCTACTAATCTGTTCATAAGTACTTGGGCTTTTGGGCACTGTGAGTAATGCGTCTATGAACACTGGCGTACAAGTATCTGTTTGAGTCTCTGTTTTTAATCCTTCTTTTTAATCCTTCTGTTTTTAATCCTTTGAACACCCCTTTAAGTGTGAAGTGGTATCTCACTGGGGCTTTAATTTGCATTTACCTGATGACTAATGATGGTCATCATCTTTTCATGTGCTTATTGTCCATTTATATATTTTTTTAGAGAAAGGTCTATTTAAATCATTTGCCCACTTTGGAATTAGTTTTGTTGTTGATTTGTAGGAGTTCTGTGTATATTCTGAAAAGTAAATCCCTCCTCAAATATATTATTTTCAGATATTTTCTCCCATTCTGTGAGTTGTGTTTTCATTTTCTTTATAGAGTCCTTTCATGCAAAAATTGATGTAGTCCAATTTATTTTTTGTTTTTTATTCTTTATGCTTTAAGTTTCACACTTAAGAAATCATTGTTTAATCCACGGTCTAGAAAGTGTTCATCTGTATTTTCTTCCAGCCAAGTACTAACCCAGCCCAGCCCCACTTAACTCCCAAGACCAGATGAGATTGGGTGTGTTCTGGGTAGTATGGCCATAGACAGTGTCTTTTCTTCTAAGCATTTTATTTAGCTCTTTCAATTAGGCCTTTGATCCATTTTGAGTAAATTTCTGTATGTGGTATAAGGTATGGCTCCAACTTCATTCTTTTACATGTAGATATCCCGTTTCCCAAGCACCTGTTGAAAAGACTCTCTTTTTCCCCATTGTCTCTGTACCCCTTCTCAAAAATCAGTGTACCATTACTTGGTGATATCTGAGCTCTTTATTCTAGTCTATTGGCCTATTGGTCTCTCCTTATGTCTGTACCACACTGTTTTGATTATTGTAGCTTTATAGCAAAATTTGAAATCAGGAATTTATTCCTTCAACTTTATTCTTTCTCAGTTTGTTTTCATTCTTTGGGGTCCCTTGAGATTCCATATAAATTTTAGGATGGATTTTTCAGTTTCTGTAAACATGTCATTTTGCCTTTGATAGGTTTAACATTAAATCTGTATATTGTTTTGGGCAATATTGTTATTTTAATAACACTAATTCATGAATATTGGCTATTTTTCCATTTATTTAGGTCATTTTTAATTTTTTTGAGCAATGTTTTATAGTTTACCTCATTGGTTAAATTTGTTCCTAAGCATTTATTCTTTTTGATGCTATTGTACAAAGAATTGTTTTTTAAATTTCCTTTTCAGTGTATATAAATACAACTGAATTTTTTTTTTTTAAGAGACAAGAGTCTCACTATGTTACCAGGCTGGACGCCTTAAACTCCTGGCTTCAAGCTATACTCCTGCCTCAGCCTCCTGAGTAGATGGGACTACAGCCACGTGCCACCACACATACCTAACTACAACTGATTTTTGGGCGTTGATTATTTTATAGAGTCCTTTGCAACTTTGCCAAAATTTATTTATTAGCTCTTACATTTGTTTTTTGTGGATTCTTTAGTTTTCCATATATAAGATCATGTCATCTATGAACATCTCTTTCCAATTTGGATGCCTTTATTTCTTTTTCTTGCCTAAACACTATGTTGACTAGAAGTAGCCAAAGTGGACATTGTGCATCCTGATTTTGTCCTTGACCTTATGGGAAAAGCTTTCAATTTTTCACCCCTGTTGAGTATGATGCTAGTTGTGGGTTTTCATATGTGGTCTTTATCATGTTGTTTGTCGTATTCCTAGTTTATTATCATGAAAGCATGTTGAATTTTGTCGGATGTTCTTTCTGCTTGTATTAAGATGTTTTGTTCCTTTCATTCTTTTAATGTGGTGTATACACTGATTGATATTCATATATTGGACAATCCTTGAGTTCCAGGAATAAATCCTACCTTTTCATATTAAAATCCTGCTAATACGCTACTGAATTTGGGTTGCTGGTCTTTATATCGATAGGCACAATAGATACTAGTCTGTAGGTTTCTTTTCTTTTAGTGTCCTTGTCTCGCTTTGGTATCAAGGTAACGGTGACCTCATAAGATGAGTTAGGAAGTGTTCCCTCCTTTTCAAATTTTTTGGAGGGGTTTGAGAGAACTGGTATTAATTCTTCCTTAAGCATTTGGAAGAATTCACCAGTGAAGCCATCTGGTCCTAGGCTTTTTTTTGTTGGAAGATTATTGTTTACAGAATCAATCTTCTTACTGGTCATTGATCTATTTTGGTTTTCTATTTCTTATTGAGTTGGTTTTGATAAAGTGTACGTTTCTAGGAATTTGTCTATTTCATCTAGGTTATCCAACTTACTGGTATATAACTGTTAACAGTATTCTCTTATAACCCTTTGTATTTACATAAAATTCATAGTAATATCCCCACTTTTATTTCTGGTTTTAGTAACTTGAGTCTTCTCTCTTGCTTCTTCTCCTGAGTCAATCTAGCTAAAGGCTTGTCATTTTTGTTGATCTTTTCCAAACCAACTTTTGGCTTCATTGATTTTATCTATTATTTTTCTGCTATCTCTGCTCTAACCTTTATCTCTTTCCTTCTGCCAGCTTTGGCTCTAGTTTCCTCTTCCTTTTCTAGTTCCTTAAAATGTACAGTTAGCTTACCTATCTGAGATCTTCTTTTAACATATGCATTTACACTATCTCTGAAGATTTATCTATGAAGGTTGTTTTCACTACACCCCTTAAGTTCTGATATGTTGTATTTTCACTTGTCTCAAGGTATTTTGTAATTTTCCTTATGATTTCTTCTTTGACCCATTAGGTTTTGGGGTATATTGTTTAATTTCCACAGATTTGTCTATTTCTAGTTTTCCTTCTGTTACTGATGTCTACTTTCATTCCATTATAATTGAAAAGGTACCTTAGGCTCAGCGCCTATAGCTCAACCGGCTAAGGCGCCAGCCACGTACACCTAAGGTGGCAGGTTCGAATCCCCAGCCCGGACCCGCCAAACAACAATGACGGCTGCAACCAAAAAATAGCCGGGCGTTGTGGCGGGCGCCTGTGGTCCCAGCTACTTGGGAGGCGGAGGCAGGAGACTCGCTTGAACCCAGGAGTTGGAGGTTGCTGTGAGCTGTAATGCCACGGCACTTTACCCAGGGGGACAGCTTGAGGCTCTGTCAAAAAAAAAAAAAAAAAAGAAAAGGTACCTTATATGTTTTCAACTTTTAGAAATTTACTAAGACTGTTTCATGGCCTAACATATGGTCTATCCTGGAGAATGTGCCATGTGAACTTGAGAAGAATGTTCATTCTGCTGTTGCTGGGTAGTGTTCTGTTTACGTCTCTACTTCTAATTGGTTTGCAGTGCTGTTCAAGTCCTCTATTTCCTTATTGATCTTAGGTTTTTTATGACCATTATTGAAAATGGGATATTAGAATCTCCAAATATTTTTCTCTATTTTTCCCTTGAGTTCTGTCATTCTTTGGTTTCACATATTTTGGGGCTCTGTTAGGTATAAGAACCTTTTACCAATATATAATACCCTTTATCTTTGGTAACCTTTTTCGATTTAAAGTTTATTTTGTCTGATGATAATATAGCCACCCCATTCTTTTCTGGCATTTTCACAGCTCATCATTTTCCACCCTTGTACTTCCAACCTCTTTGTGTCCTTATATCTGAAGTATGTCTCATAGATGCTAGAGATAGATTTATCATAGATAGATAAAGTTATCATAGATAGATAAATCCTGATTTTTTAAAAAACTCTATACAAGTTTAGCTAGTCTTTGTCTGTAATAGGAAAGCTCAATGTTTTTACGTTAATGTGACTGCTGATAAAGAAGGATTTAATTGTGCCATTTAGCTGTTTGGGGCATGTTTTATATGGGTTTGATTCTTCAGTTCCTCTAGTACAGCCTTTTTTGTATTTATCTGATTATTTGGAACACACTATTTTGACTCCTTTCTCTCCTTTTCTATGTATTTCTTCATTATTTTCTGAGTGGTTAACTTGGGGATTATAATTAATATCCTAACCTGATAACAATTCCAGTCTAATCCCAACTTTGTTTCAGTATTATACAAACACTGCTCCGACACATCTTCCTCCCTTTTGTTAGTTTTGTAACTGATGCAGATCACATCTTGCTATGTTGCCTACCTTTTAACATAGATTTGTAATTTTTTAATGAATTGGCCTTTTCAATTATTTAGGAAAAAGAGAAAAGTTATAAACCAAATCAAAAGTACAATAGTACCAGCTTTTATATTTACATATAAGGGGTTTTTTGGCTTATAGCTTCAAGTTACTGTTGTGTATCTTTCATTTCAGCTTGAATGATGCCCTTTAGCATTTCTAGTAGGGAACGTCTACTGGTAACAAACTCCTTTAGCTTTTTTTTGTGTGTGACAGAGTCTCACTTTGTCACCCTTGGTAGAGTGCCACGGTGTCACAGCTCACAGCAACCTCAAACTCTTGGGCTCAAATGATTCTCTTGCCTCAGCCTCCAAAGTAGCTGGGACTACAGGCACTCACCACAATGGTTGGCTATTTTTAGAGATGGGGTCTTGCTTTTGCTCAGCTGGTTTTGAACTCAGTTCAACTGATCCACCCATCTCCGTCTCCCAGAGTGCTAGGATTACAGGTGTGAGGCACTATACTCAGCTCCCTCAGCTTTGTTTATCTGGAAATGTCTTGATTTCTCTTTCATTTTTGAAGAGTAGTCTTGCCAGATATAGAAATCTTGGTTGACAGATTTTTTTTTCTTTCATGACTTTAGACATAGCATCCCCCTGTCTTTGCCTCCATGGTTTCTGATGGGAAATCAGCTGTTAATCATATTGAGGATTCCTTACATGTGATGAGTAGCTTCTCTCTTGCTTTCAAAATCTTCTCTGTCTTTGGGTTTGACAATTTTAATATAACACATGACATGTGGATCTCTTTGAATTTATCCTGCTTGGAGTTCATTGAGCTTCTTGGGTATGTAGATTCATGTTTTTCATCATATTTGAGAAGTTTTCTGCCATTATTTCTTCAAATATTCCATCTGCCCCCTTTCAGTCTTTTCCCAGGATTCCTATAATACATATATCAGTATGCCTGAGGATGTCCTGCAGACTTTGTTCATTTTCCTTCATTCTCTTTTCTTTCTGATCCTTTGGATAATTTTAGTTGTTTTATCTTCAAATTCACTGATCCCTTCTTCTGCCTGCTTGGATCTGTTGTTGAGCCACTCTAGTATGTTTTTCATTTCAGTGATCGTACTTTTTAGCTCTAGAATTTGTTAGGTTCCTCTTTAGAGTTTCTATCTTTATTGATGTTCTCATTTGGTTCATGTATAATTTTCCTGGTTTCCTTAAGTCTTTGTCCATGGTCTCACCTACCTCACTGGACATAGTTAAGACATGTCTTTGACTAATAATCCCACTGGACTTCCTTGAGGAGAGTATCTGCCAACTAGTTTTTCTTCTGTGAATGATTGATATTTTCCTATTTTAAATGTATTTTTTATAGTTTCTTGTTGAGAACTAGAAATTCTGAGTATTATATTATAGTGACTAAAAATCTAATTCTCTCATCCCTCAGGGATTATTGATTTTTGTTTGTTGAGAGCTGGAGCCATCTGTGACTTTTCCAAACTATTTTTACAAAATATGTATTCCTTGTGGTGTAAGGATGTCATTAAAATTTCTGTTATGATGACTCTGTGGTCCACCAGTGACCTAAGGTTTCCTAAAACGTCTGTCTTGCTAAAAGGAGGAAAAGAAAAAAAGAGGATGCTCTCTCTCTCTCTCTCTCTCTCTTTAATTCCTCTTGTGGCTAGGAAGCTGCTTTAGTCCATAGGAGTAGAAACAGTGACTAGCCTCTGTGCTGGCCTTTCAGTGATCAAGTGCAATTATCAGCAATCAAAACACAAAACCCTGACTTTTAGAAGTCAAGGTTATTATTGCCCTGCTGGCACCAACAGGCTGCACCAGAAACCTGGGCTGTAGTTACCACAGTTGCCTGCTACAGGGATGGGGTAAGGGGATGCTGCTCTGTGAAACAAGAAAATTCTTCAAAACTCACAAGCCTCTCCATCTGACTCTCCCCTGGATGTTGGACATGTCCAACTAGACTCCAGAGCTCCAAAATGGTTGCTTCAGGCAATTTTTGCTAGCTCAATAGTTCTTGTGGTGGAGGAACAGATTCCTGGTGCTTCCTCTTCTGCCATCTTCCATGACATCAGTGTGTACAGATTAGCTTTTGTAATAAACTTACTCAAACATCTCTTGTAAGCATGACATTCTGGCCTACTGGTAATCACAAGAAGCATAGAGCTGGGTGCAACACAAGGACACTTAGACCAACTTGGACAAAGCATTCCAGGTAAAAGAGAGAGATAAGCTGCTCTGCACTGAAAGAGTCAACCCAACCATAAGAAACCTTCTTTCTGTCCTGGTGTGACTCTAGAATATGCCACAAGTCATGATGTAAAGCTGTCTGTGAGTGGTGAGGCTCAGAGGAGAGGAGCATTTCTCCCACTCTTGCCCTAATGAGAACATCACCAAAGTTGGCGGAGGCCAGAAGCCAGTTCCTGTGTGCTCATACCCTAACTGCTGACCAGGGTAACTGTAACTCTGGGCTCTGAGGTGTTTGCTTACACTGTGGGTTTTACAGAGCTGGGTTTTTCACGTTAGTATGTGAGTATGAAAAGAAGAGGCTTTGTACAAATGCTAAAGAGCTGCAAAACGTGGCTGTCCTATACCACATAGCTTCTGAAGTGAAAGTTATAAGAAACACCTGTCAGCTCAGCACCTGTAAGCACAGTGGTTACAGTGCCAGCCATATGCGCTGAACATGGCAGGTTCAAGCCCAGCCTGGGCCAGCTAAACAACAATGACAACTGCAACAAGAAAATAGCTGGGCGTTGTGGCAGGTGCCTGCAGTCCCAGTTACTTGGGAGACTAAAGCAAGAGAATCGCTTAAAGCCCAAGAGTTTGAAGTTGCTGTGAGCTGTGATGCCATGGTACTCTACCAAGGGTAACATAATGAGATTCTGTATCAAAAAAATAAATAAATAAATAACACCTGTAACAGTTCGGTAATGTTAATACCTTGGTGATAAGGTGGAAGGGTTTCAGCTCTCCTTAACCTGAGAGCTCACAAGACAAGAGCATCAGTGATTAGCAGTCTTTACACCTGTGGTGCAAGAGCCACGAAATCACTTCTATAATAAGCTGCAGGAGAAGGCAGTTGAAGAGTGCTCATTCTTTCACAGACTTGCTTACTCTGACTCTTTCACTTCTCCTGCCCACAGAACACCTGCACGGCATCTCTCTCTGAAAGACTGCTAAGATGTACTCTTCAAATAAGACCGCTTCTCTCCCTCAAATACTGTCTCTCTCTCTCTCCCTTTTGCTAAAGTGAACAGCCCTCAGGCACCTAAGAGTAATTGTTCCCGAGCAAGATAGCACAGTGATCCATGTCCAGATGTTAGCTAAGCCGGGGCCGGAGACCTGGCCAGTCCTGGGCCCCGACACATGGCAACCCCTTCACCCAAATTATAAGCAGACTTGGAAGTCTCCTTTTCCATAACTGAATGAAGAAACAATAGCTTAACTATATTTCAAATTGTCGTGTTCAGATGAATTTAAAATATTTAGAGAAAGAAAAAGAATTTGTCTTTTTTGAGGTCTTAAGTAGAAAGAAACTGGGTGGGGATTTGCCAGGCCAAACAAACAAACAATGGTCAGCTACGGAAACAATGAAACAACATCCAGGAAATTCTGTGGGACCTCTGAGGGGCAGGGCACTGTGTTCAGCCCTGGAGATAGGGTGCCAAACACAAGACCCCAAACTGAGTGACCAGTGCCACACTGCCCAACTGCACAGACACTTTCTGGCTGTCTCTTGTGCCCTCTACCACAGCTGACCCAGCTGGCAAGCCTGCCCTTGTGAACCCCTAGTCCAGCGGTTCTCAACCTGTGGGTCGTGACTCCTCTTTAAAAAACAATGAAAATACATTGTGGCCTTACGTAGGTTGAGAACCACTGCCCTAGGCCCTTCAGCTTCTGCAATGCCTCTCCCTCCTGGCTCTCGCCTGAGCTTCTTGGCTGTTCCGTGATGGGACCTCTGAGGAGGAGGCAGATACCAAACAGTAAGGAGGGAAGGGAGATGGTGGAAACTCACAGACCAAGAACCTGGAAAACCAATACCAACAACATCACTTGCCTATGGATTCGAAACTATGCAAAACTCTCTTATATAAAATAATGTTCTAAATTTTACTTTACTGAGGAACAAGATTGAAACTTTGATTTCATAGATGTCCAAAGGGGATGGTGATTTTTTCCATTACAACAAACATTTCTTCTACATCAGGAAGAACAACAGAAATACAAGATAGGATTTCATCAGGAAAAAAGCACTTTGTATGTCTAAAAACAACGAAAGGATCTTTTTCTTTTTGTTCACCAATGTCAGCTGAATCTCCTCTAACATTCAATTGCTCTCTCCTACTCAGGGACTGTAGATATACCTGCCTGACTCAGAAGGCGTTTTGACCTAGTCTCTTCTTGCTAAGAAATGGCTAGAAAATCTTGGACCGCTTGAGGTTCACCACGTTCTTTTACCTGCACAGATTTTTTAGAAACATGAAACGAAACAAAAAGAACCTCTCAGCCCTTTATCCTTTTATGCTCCCATGTCTTCTGCTGCCAGTTGTCCCCTAAAGCAACCAGGCACTTAACCCTGCTGCCAGGCAGTCCTTGAGCAGGTAGACACCCCCGTGCAATAAACTTAGTGCCCACCCCAAGTGCATCATCCTTCCTGCCTTCACAGAGGATAGACATGGCTCCCATGCACTCCTTACCTAGCTGAAGTCCAGCCTGGGGGCTCGATTTGTCAAAGGGCTCTGAGCTGGCCGCAGGGACGCTGGGCTCCCACAACTCACTGTTCTCAGCTACCTCGGAATAGGTGTCAGCCTTCCCTCTGTGAGCTGCTGCAGGCTCACCAGCACCAGGGCCCGGGTCCTCAAGGCCTGTGTCCACCACAGCCCGGGTCTCCTCACCCATTTTCTCAGCAAACCACTGCTTGACTTGCTGGGGGTTCATCTGGGTTTTGTCACAGAGATTCTGCAGGTCCTCCTCATACAGCATCTTGTGTGCCATGTAATAGTCTTGCAGGAGCTGCTGGTTGCCAGGGGTAATGACCAACAGCCCTGGTGGGAAGTTGCCCCGCTTATAGTCTTCGTACCACTTGAGCTGGCCATTCTTCAGGGCGTACCTGCTGTCTCCAAACCAGCGCACCACCTCTGGCCGTGGCAGACCCGTCTGGGCCATGATGGCATCATAGTCCTGGTTGCTGGGCCACTGTGTCTGGACAAAGAGCTGCCGCAGCAAGTGCCGTTGCTGGGCCGTCTTTTTGCAGCTAACTTTGCCTGGGGGCTGCTCTGCCAGCTTGTTCGATCCTTCATCCTCAGGCTCACAGATGCTCATCCCTAGAATCTCACTCTTGTCATTGGCTTCAGTGACCCGCAGGTTCTTGAGGTTGATTTTGATGGGACTGACTTTGCGCTCTGCCAAGGTATGATTGCCGGGCAATTCTGGGGAGCCATTTTCACCAGGCACCCTTAGCTCACTGGCCAAATCCTCATCTCCACCCTCGTCTTCAGCAGCCTCCTCTTCCTCTTGAGAGACATTTTCATCAGCCTTCTTGGTGTCCTCAGCTGTCACTTTTTTCCGTCTCTCTGAAAACCAGCTATCAATTTCTCTTCGGGTCATTTTGGTTTCACTCCTCAGGCGGTCCAGTTCCTCGTCCAGAGGAAGGGGGTTTTGTGCAAAACTGCTCTCCAAGGCTCGGAGTTGCTCTGGGGCTCTCTCCTTGTATTTGGTTGGTGTGAAGTCTGGAGTCTGGTGCCAAGATTGTCGTTTGGCGGAAGGGTGGGTTGCTAATGTGGGTGCAGTCGGGATGCAGGTTACCTCGGGGGCCTTGGATGATGGGGAGAAGGACACCTCTGGCACAGAGTCAATAATGATGGAGCTGTGATCTCCAGACATCATGGCTCTGGACCCCTTCAAGTTGCGGCAGTGGTATCTCCGGTCACTGAACCATTTCCGTACCTCTCTGGTACTGAGGCCAGTCACTTTGGTCAGGTGCTCAACTTCGCTCTGTCCTGGGAATTGGTTCCGACAGAAGCTCCCTTTCAGAGCTGACAGCTGTTCGTGAGATTTCTTGTTTTTATAGATGCTAGCATCAAGGAAGGCTTGGGAAGTTATGCTGGGACAGGCCGTGAGGAGCGACTGGGCTGCATTAACCACCTTCACAGCTGATGTTGTATTTGAACACACAGTGTTGATGGGTGCCACACTTGGCTGCTTGGAGACAGATGTAACTGCGAGGGGAAGAGATGAACTTGGTGCTTGCAACCCATTGGCCATCAGTGGCTGAGTGACCAGAAGTCCTCCTGCTGTGCCCTCTGGCTGTCCCACGACATGACCTGGGAGAGCAGCCTGGATGAGATGCTGGACGTTGCCAGCACTGGCGACCAGGGGAGTATTTAGAACCGTGATTGTGGGCTGAGGCACAGACTGGATGACGGTGTTGAACATCTTCTTCCGGGCATCCTCGATCTCCTCAGGGGACCAGCTGATGCCCTGCTTCAGCCTTTGGGCTGTGAACCAGATCTTGAGCTGCTCTTCTGGATACTTGGTCACCACAGTCAAGTAGCAGAGCTCAGCTTTGGTTGGGTAGGGGAACTTGTGGAAGGAGTTCTTCAGAAAGCTGTTGGAGTCCATGGCCATGTTGTACGCTGGAATGCTGCTCAGGGGGACCATCACTTTGGGAAGGGCCTTGGATGTGGGCAGTGTCTGGTGGGCATGGTGCTGGCCATGCATAGGGGGCTGCTGCTGGAGAGACAGGAACTGTGCTATCCCAGCCGGCAGAACTGGGACCGTTCCGATCAGAGGCCCGTTGGCAGCATGGGTTGGTTTTGTGGAGCTGGTAGATGCCTGGCTGACTGGGATGGCCCCGTTGACAAAAGAGTGGTCGCCCTCTTTCACCTCTGTTTCTCCAGCCAACAGCTTTGGTAAAGCCTCACCCACAGGCTGGCTGGGGACATTCTCCTTGAGTGTATGAATTTTTTTGGCTTCAGCTTTGCCTTTCATTATCTTCATGATTGGAGTTTTGGTAATGATAATTTCTGCCTGGCCATCGACCCCTTCGGCGCTGGTCTCGCCTGCCAGGTCAGGGGTGCTGGTGCTCTCAGGGACGCTCTGCTCTACGACCACATGATTGTCTGGCTTGGCCACATTCCACACAAAGCTGGCTTCCCCCAAGTGACACTTGGCATTATGCAGGGAAAGCCCCTCCGGGGTTTTTGCCAGAAAACTGCACCCAGCACAAACAAAAGTTGGGTCTTTATTAAAGTCTGTGTGTTCTGAGTTCATATGTCCCACAAACTGGGTATTGTCGTGGGATCTGAAATCACAGTATTTACAGAAATATAAATAGCCGTCCAAAGTGCTCCGATGCCCGTTGGCCAGGGCAGAACCCTCAGTACTGCTGGCGTTCTGGGTGGTCTCGCTGCTGGTGGCAGGCACTTCTGGGGGCAGATCCTGCTGGGGTGCTTGGGGCAAGGCCTCAGCAGGCTGGGCCTCCGTGCTGGCATCCTGCAGCACCACAGTCTTCACTGGGATCATGCAGGGGGTGGTGGATTTCCTCTTGCTAGCCATGGTGACAGTCACTGGGTGATTAGCAAGTGACAGCTTATCCCATCAAGGGCCTCATAGTACAAGTTCCAGCTACTCCATGAGGGCCAAAGGAATAGTTTGTAAGGGCAGCTTTTTCACTTGCTTGCAGAAAGCAGATTTCCCTATTAAACCTGAGGAGGGAGGGGGAAAAGATTAAGTCTCTTAAGCTCTATTTCTGTATTTCTCAGACACTCAGACATACTCTGCTGCTTACTTCCCACCACCTCGGCCTTTCCACAGGAAGTCCAATCAGCCTGCATGTGAAGCCTGAGCAGGAGCTCGCTGATCACTAACAAACAGTGCTCTCCAGAATGATGTGGGGATGCTCCAATGCCATTTGAGAGACTTATGTGATTTCCTTTCCTCCCCTTCATCTTTGCATTAAGTAACTCAAATTAAGAACTGGAAACAAACACACTCTCTTTTGGACCTCCAAATTAATTCTGACCATGTCAAAGTGAGAACAAAAGATCCCAGTGTAATTCTTCTTTAAATGTTTGGGCCAACAAGGGTTTTTCTTTTCATAGCCTTCCCACATATGAGAACAAGATGATGCTTCTGGCTCAGTGCCTATAGCTCAACCGGCTAAGGCGCCAGCCACATACACCTAAGGTGGCGGGTTCGAATCCCCAGCCCGGACCCGCCAAACAACGACGGCTGCAACCAAAAAATAGCCGGGCGTTGTGGCAGGTGCCTGTGGTCCCAGCTACTTGGGAAGCGGAGGCAGGAGACTCGCTTGAGCCCAGGAGTTGGAGGTTTCTGTGAGCTGTAATGCCATGGCACTCTACCCAGGGGGACAGCTTGAGGCTCTGTCTCAAAAAAAAAAAAAAAGATAATCTTCTGTCTCTCCCAAGCCAGGCCCAGGGACCAAGTTCGCTGGTGTGTGAATGGAAGGGGTGTGTTGGGTGGGGGTGGCAGGAACACTGGCTGCTGTAAGCGTCAGACCTCCCCCTGTGGCCTTGCCCTGCCTGCTGCCTACATTGGTTCCAGGCGACAGAAAAGGGATCACCTCACAGCTACTGGCTGTATCCTGTCACTCAGATGAAGCCACAGGTCAGACTGTTGTGGGAACCACAGAACCAGTTTGTGGCCTGGCAAGCTACAATTCTGTTTTTAGGTGCAACAATTCAAAGCATGATACCACCCTGGGTGTACTATTACATGACCTTGTTTTATGCTTATTGTTCTTTCATTTGGGTTTGGGGGGTTTTTCGTTGTTTCTTTAAAAAACTACTTAAATGTTTCATCTCTTTGAAATTTATTTCAAAAGCTAGAGAAGACTGATTTACTGATAAGTAATTGTGATAATTATTTCAGGAGATGCCATAAAAACACTCACTTCTGTGATCCCTATTGTTAAAATATCACTATAATCATCATTACCCCCTTTTTTTTTTTTTTTAGCAAACTGCAATGCTGTAATGACTAAAATAACAATTCTAATACTAAATTCAAGTGTTATTATCAGTGTTTGCCTTTGGTATAAAAACATGGCTATTATTTGAGTAACGCCACTATGCTCAGACCGCCAAGTATCTGAGATTAGAAATGTGAGCCACTGTGCCTGGCTAGGATATATTTTTGCTGTCAAATTATTTTCTGAGGCTAAATACATAGGCATGGGCTTACCAGCTCAAAAATTATCAACATGTCTAAGCTCCTTTATATGTAGCCGGTGTTTTAAATCAAGTGCTTTATAATCCCAAATTAAGGGAACTAAGAAGGACACAGGTACATTTCCAGTGATGAAATCAGATTTTAAGACAAGTTATGGAAGACATCAAATAGAATATCTGAAAGCACAAAAGAAAAGAATATAAATTGGACTTATCCGCAATTAAAAACTTGTATGTTTCAAAGGTCACCATCGAGAAAGTAAAAAGGGCCAGTTATAGTGGCTCACACCTATAATCCTACCACTTTGGAGGCCAAAATGGGAGGATCACTTGAGGCCAGGAGTCCAACACCAGCCTTAGCAAGAGTGAGACCTCCATCTCTACAAAAAATAGAAAAACTAGTCAGGCATGGTGGTGTGCGCCTATAGTACAAGTCAGCTGGGAGGCTAAGACAGGAAGATCACTTGAACTAGGAATTTGAATCTGCAGTGAGCTATGGTGATACCACTGTACTCTATCATGGGCAAAGGAGGGAGACGCTATCTCGGGGGGAAAAAAGAAAAAAGAAAGTAAAGAAAGACAACCCACAAAATGAAAGAAAGGATTTTCAAATAATATATCTGGTAAAGAATATCCAGAATATATTTACAAGAACTCTTACAACTCAACTGCAAAAAGATAATTCAAAAATGAGTAAAGGATTTGAATAGGTATTTCTCAAAAGAAATTGCACAAATGTTGAATAAACACATAAAAAATGCTCAACGTCATTCGTTGTTAGGGAAATGCAAGTCAAAACCACAATCATATACTCCTTCACACCCACCAGTGTGGGTACAATTGTAAAGATGGTTAATACCTAGTGAAGTATGTGGACGTATGTAGGTGAAGATGTGGAGAAATTGGAGCCCTCACATATTGCTGTGGGAATTAACACAATGTAGCCACCATTGGAAAACAATTTGGTGGTTTCTCAAAGTATTAAATACAGAGTTGCCATAAGATCCAGCAATTCCACTCAGGTCTATACACAAGAGAAATGAAAACACATCCATTCACACAAAAACTTATACACAAGTTTCATAGTAGTATTATCCAAATAATAGCCAAAAAGCGGAAACAACCCAAATGTCTATCATGGATACATAAAATGTGAATGTATTCAAACAATATAATATTGTTCAGACATAAAAGGGAATAAAGGTTTGATATATGCTACAATATGGATGAACTTGAAAACATGCAACATGAAAGAAATCAGACACTAAATGCTACATATTATATTATTCCATTTCTATGAAGTGTCTAGAGAAGAAAATCCACAGAACCATAAAGTAGATTAGTGGCTGCCAAAGAATGAGGGGAGGGAGAAACTGGCAGACATTGCTAAGGGGTGTGAGTTATTTTCTTGGGGTGAGGAAATGTTCTAAAATTAGGCCAGGTGTGGTGGTTCACGCCTATAATCCTAACACTCTGGGAGGCCTAGGCAGGCGGATTGCTTGAACTCAGGAGTTCAAAACCAGCCTGAGCAAGAGCGAGACCCTGTCTCTACCGAAAACAGAAAAATTATACAGGCGTCATGATGGGCACCTGTAGTCCCAGCTACTCAGGAGGCTGAGGTAAGAGGATAAAGGATCGCTTGAGCCCAGGGGTTTGAGGTTGCTGCAAGCTAGGTGGACTCTACAGCACTCTAGCCCTGGCAACAGAGTAAAATTCTGTCTCAAAAATAAAAACTAAAAAAAAAAAAAAAATTCTAAAATTAGATGATAAGGATGGTTGCACAACTCTCTGAATATACTAAAAACCACTGAAAGGAATTGACCACAAGAAAGGTAGAGGGCAGAAAATCACAGAACTCAGTTGCCTCAAACTCTTAGGATCAAGCCATCCCCCTCGCCTCTACCACCCAAGCTATGGCCCCCTGCCATAACACCTGGCTAGTTTTTCTATTTTATTTATTTACTTTTTAAGATACAGTTTTTTGGGTTCTTTTTTTTTTCTTTGTTTTTTCTATTTTTAGTAGAGATGGGGTCTCACCATTGCTCAGGCTGGTCTTGAACTCCTGAGCTCTAGGCCTCCCAGAGTGTTAGGATTACGGGCGTGAGCCACGGTACCTGGCCAATCATTCACACTTTTAAGGTTCCAATACAGGTGATGTCGTTCTGTGACATTCCTGACTCACCCTGGTAGAATTTACTTCCACCCTGAATAAGGTGAATGGCGGGTCTGCCAACAGAGAGAAGAGCGCTGCAAACTCACCAGCTGGAAGCGACACTGCCCAAGGAGGAGAGGGGGAGCTGGTGGAAGTGCAGGCCCAACAGAGAGAAGAGAGCTGCAAACTCACCAGCTGGAAGCGGCACTGCCCAAGGAGGACAGCAGGAGTTGGCGGAAGTGCAGGCAGCCAGCACAACTCAGGAGCAGGTAAGTGCAGGGCCCGGAGACTGCACCCCAGGCAGAAGGTCACAACTGCTGCTTGTGACGGGGACTGAGCTTCCCTGAGCGTAAGGTAAATAGTGTTTCTGGGGTTTTATTTACTCAGGCTAAGAAGCAGACAACATGAAGATGCATTTAATTGTTGGAAATAGTCCCAGTGTCATTCAGAATTAAGTTTCAAAGTAGCCCCAAACTACTGTTCAAACTAACAACCACGGAGGGTAGCCCTGCTAACTACTCTCTGGGTGGCTCAGCCATCCGTCACAGACTATTACAAAAGAACAGTAGTGGCCACGGCAGTAGCCACAGCCAACATTCCTGCGTGTTTCGTACCATGGATAGTGCTTTTATACACATCCTCTCATTTCACTCACAACAAACCTAAGAGAAGGCACTCTTACCATTCCCGCTTTACAGACAAGAAAAGCGAGGCTCGTGCCATAATCCTAGCACTCTGCAAGGCTGAGGTGGATAGATTGCTTGAGCTCACAAGCTAAAGACCAGCCTGAGCAAAAGTGAGACCCTGTCTCTACTAAAAGCAGAAAACTGTGGCAAGAAGATCAGTTGAGCCCAAGAGTTGGAGCTGTGACACCATGGCACTCTACCTAGGGCGACAGCTTGAGACGAAGAAAAGAAAAGAAAAGAAAAGAAAAAAAAAGAAAAGAAAAGAAAAGGAAAGGAAAGGAAGAAAGACAGAAAGAAAGAAAGAAAGAAGGAGGAGGGGCTCAAAGAAGTGCTACAACTGCCTTCAGGGCACATAACCAGGAGGCAGCAGAGGCTGGGAGACCTCAACAGCAGTCACAGCAACAAAGATCAACAAGTGGGACCTGATGAAATTAAAAAGTTTCTGTACAGGCAAGGACACCATCAGTAGACAAGCCATAGAACAGGAGAAAACATCTGCATGCCATACATCTGATAAAGGGCTGATAACTAGAATCTACAAAGAACTCGAGCAAATCAGCAAGAAAAAAATCAAATGACCCAATTAAAAGTGGGCAAAAGACAGGAACAGAAACTTTTCAAAGGAGGATAGTCTAATGGTCAACAAACACAGGAAAAAATGCTCAACATCTCTACTC